TGGCTGGAGATTTTTTGCAGACGAGTTGAAGAAAAATCTTTTTTGCAAGTTACTTATTAGCATAAGGACATGACTAATTCGAAAATATCTCTTGTCAGATCTTTTCCGTTACCGAGATAGGCGGCATTATCTGTAAAATAACTACCTTTCCTGCCGGCTATTTATAATCATACCTTTATGAATAAAAAATAAAAGTTGTTGATTCAACACCAGTTCAAATGTGCGCTGGTTGGTATAAGGAGAAAAAATAACTAAACTTAGGGCGTTTCTGAGAGTGTGTAATGAGCAGCATAACATAAAAAAACACAGAAATTTCTATTTTAACGTCTGTAACATTAGTATTATACTTTTTTAGGCATGCGTCGCTGTGGTCCTTGTCCTGTGGATGCTTTGAAAAATGCAGACCTGAGTCATAGATGGGATTCTCCCTGGCTGGGATCCCCCTTCCAAAAGTAAATATGCACTATGTATACTAAGACCTAACATTGGGCTGGCATGTTTGACACATTGAACAGGGTAGGGTGTTAAAGGGAATCTCTCATTTAATCCGACAATGTATTATACTCACTATTTGTAAATCAGGCGTATTTGTTCTCGCCTCTAAACGATGTGGTACCAAGACGAATGTCTTGCTTCTCTCATATACATTTGAACACTTTGCTTTTTCCACTGGTAAAATGATTGTTGAGGATTTTTGTGAATTAATTTGACGTTTTCGTTTTTCAGCATATTCCCCGCTGCATAGGATAAAATTATATGCTTTGGAATTTAAATTATGAAGAGTATTTTGTCGTTGCCGATGAAATTGTTGTACAAAGAGAAACGATGCTGAACTCTTATAATTCATCTGGACTATTTTATAAATTGAGGACAGCCGATAAAGTGATGTATGATCATAATCTGGTACGTCTGAATGAATGGAAACGAGAAAAAGTGGGTTTTATTTTTTATATAAAAAAACTATTAACCTTGAGAACTATTAAAATACAAATTGGTCACGCTATATAAAAGTTCTTGACAATAAAATAAAACGACTTCTTCTTTTCTTCTTTGTTCGAGTACGTAGTATCTGACACTTTGTTCATAATACAGCGGCATGAAGTATCAACAAGAGGATCATATTTCTATTCATGTTTCTCAAATATTGATTATGATAAACTAACATCCAAGTGATTCAACAATGTAACCATCAAAATACCTTATTATAGAAGAACTTGCTTACATCGTAAACGATTTCATCGACCAATCAATTGTGTAAAGATCGGTATATATTGGATATTTTTCTACTCATATAGTCTCATCAGTCTCTTGCCATGATCTACTTCATAATTTATGTCTCAAATTCTCTATTTTTCTTTTTTCTATCAAGAAATAAAAAGGTAAAATATCATAATGTAGCCGGTGTGGTTGGCGTCAGTTTTAATAGCCAGATATTTGAGTCATGACGCAGCGTTCTTCCACTAAATTGTGTCTGAACTTCTTATATATACTCACTAACCTCGTACTAGCTTTCTGGCAAGTGACAAACAATAATCGAGAGAATTTCATTATACGTTTCGTATATTATTATAACTGGTGGACATGTAGAAGGTGGTGAGTAAAAGATATCAAAACATACAGTTGTTTACTAAAGTGAACAAACCTCAAGCTACAGATTGAACTTTATCACATAAAATGTTGCGATTTCCTCTTTTAGCTCTTTCGAAGAAATAGGTTCGCCTTACTCACACTTTAAAGGTTCTGTTAATTCAATTTGTACATAACATAGCAAATCGTTCGATTTTCTATCGGGCTGAAAATAAGTGAAACAAAATATTTATGTACATCCATATAATAATATTTCAAATATTATTATATGGATGTACATAAATATTGTTTGTACATAATTATTGTTATGTACATAAATATTGTACATAAATAGTATTTATATGGATTATATTGAGATCCTTTTGTTATGTTTTAGAACAACAAAGCTAAAAAACAGAACAAGTAAAACAACAACCAAACATAACCAAACATAAATAAATAAATTGTTTACTGAAATGTTGGTTCATTCAAATTCCGTTTCGTGTAATCGAAATTGTTTAATTCTAATTTGATTAATGTATATTAAAAATATACGGCTAACACATCACAAACATCGAAAATATTGTGGAATTTTAAAAAAAAATTTATCGAATACTTTTGAGTCGAACTTTTCTTTTTTCGAAAGTGAGTTTTTTGTGAAGAAATTTTCATGAAATTTTTAGTTATTAACTTTTACTGTTTCCAAAAATTTTTTGCAGTAAAATACCACATAGCAACAATTTATGCATATTGCAAATTGTAAGCAACAAATTTAACGTTACATATCACATTTTGACTCATATATGTGCAACATCTCACAAACGCTGATTGGTGGAGCCTGAGAGATTTTATTCTAAGTGTAATTTGGTGATGGATGAAGTTCCAAGGATAAAGCCGCAATGCGTAATCGCAATATGTGCGTGGTATGCCTACAAAATAATCAATGTGTTAACCAAGCTGTTAGGAGCAAGACACGCCTTCGCATTACCCAGAATCGCAAATAAAACACTTCATATTTACTTTTGAACAGTTTGATCCAAAAGTAAATATATTTGCTTTCGGGTATTTAATTCTTCAGTTCCTTTTAGCAACTGTAGCCGTATGCTTTACTTTGTTTTGTTCTCTTATAACTTCTCTCTCGGACAAGAGAGAAAACCCCGTTATCAGTTCGATTCACTATTGAGATTAATGAGAATTCTTAAATGAAAATGATCACACTCTTCAAAGATCATACTGAATTCGACTCAAAAGAAAGAATGTAGTTGAATGACATTTCAACAGTATGATTTTCAACTATGTAGTTGAAGCACAATACCCGGTTGTTAATAATGAATTGGTTCGATCCTCTATTTCTCTCATATAGTTGAATTGTAGTGTGTACAATGTGTCGTAATTTTGGTTCAATACCAGAAAACTCAATAGTATATTGCTGAAATATATCAATCTGTCCTACAGCAAATCGACATAACCTAATAAAAAAAATAATTTGGAAACGAGGAGTGAACATAATAGCTCCTCGAAGAAATAGCATTACTTTGACAAAGAATAAAGTTACTAACATGATCGTTACTGAATACGGTGTCCGAGAATTTTAAGTCTTTGAACCATATTCATTTATACGATCAGGGATAGTGAAATCCAAACTATCCAGAGAAATTTTGTCTTTTTCACCTTGTTCTTCCTCTCGAAGCATAGTTGCAAACCCCGTACTTTTTCGGATCTCTGGTTTTCTTCGTATTGTCGGAACATCGACAAAACTTGTTTCAGCTTTCGCATCCGTCGTTTTATGTTTATCACTTGCCGTTTCGTTAGTCGCTGGCGACGAAAACGATGATTTATCATTGCCTTCGTGTTTACTAGATTCAACATCGTCAGTCATCTGATTTTGACTTGGTCGTAAGTTCTCGACATTTAATGAATCATCAAACGCTTTGGTTGTTGTCTTGACATCTCCTGACACTTGATTTTTCAATGGTATTTGATCTGTTGGTTTTTGAGATACTGACGTTTGAGGTGCTTTTTTGTGCGAAACTATTCCTCCTCTTATATCATGAACTATCGAATGCAACTCATTGATTTTGATTTCTGCAGGCTTCATTTCAGTCTTCGAACCGGTTTCTATTGGTGCAATGTCATTCTGATGAGCAGTCACTCTACTTTTCGTTTTGTCATCATTATCTGTGCTAGTCGTTGGTTTATTGTTAGTAGTCAAACTTTCAGTATTATCATCTTGCTTGTTCGACACGTTTTTGTTCTGAGACGCTTTTGTTGTTGTCTCGACATCTCCTGGCACTTGATTTTCCAATGGTATTTGATCTGTTGGATTTTGAGATACTGACGTTTGAGGTGCTTTTTTGTGCGAAACTATTCCTCCTCTTATATCATGAACTATCGAATGCAACTCATTGATTTTGATTTCTGCAGGCTTCGTTTCAGTCTTCGAACCAGTTTCTATTGGTGCAATGTCATTCTGATGAGCAGTCACTCTATCTTTCGTTTTGTCATCATTATCTGTGCTAGTCGTTGGTTTATTATGAATATTTAAGCTTTCACTATTATCATCATGCTTGTTCGACACATTTTTGCTTTGATTTTCTTCTGATAGCTTGACGTCATGTGGTTTTGTTGATTCCTTATTATCTGCCTTGCTTTTTGGAACAGTTTCCGATCTCGTATTTATGGATTCCGTTTTATTGAGATTATCTTTGACTGTCGGCTCTGTCTCGTTGCTTCCACTTGGTCTGGTGTCTTTTTTATCGACTTTATCATTATTTTTTGTCACAGTACTTATTGAAGAATCGTCCGTAACTGTGTGGGGAACTATACTATGAGAAACTTTAGTATTTTGATTATTCGGTAAAATATTCTTGTCAGTATTTGTGCTTAGACCAATGTGGTCGGAATTTATTGCTTCGTGCTTCTCTGATGATGGTTTTTGGGATTCTTCCGTCTCTCCTCTATTATAAAGATCTGTTTTAGCATCATTTTCAGTGGTGAATATTTGTTTCGAATTGCTATCTTCATCTGCTTTTGTTTGACGCATATTGCCGCCGGGATTAAAGTTTATTTGAGCAAAAGGCGGATTATTTACTTTGATCACCTCCAATGGAATAAATTTCGACGAATCATGTAGAACAGTAGATGAAAATTTGACATAAAGCAAACCATGTCCAATTCGTGTAGGAATAAATTGTTGAGAAAAAATTGTTTTTTCAAGAGGACGTAAAGGACGTCTAAAATAGAGAAATAAGTTATACTGAATTCTCTAAACATCTTTCGTATTTTCATTAAACCGATTTATATTTTTCAACCTATAGTCCAGATGTCAGATAAATCTCTGTATATGATACTTACCCGAGCACGATTGTACGACATATTCCTAATCCATCAATATGCAGCTTTCCATTTGGTAAGAATCGTTTTGTCGGATTATTAAATTGAATTTGTAATGTGAATGGTTTACCAGCTTCAACTACATCATCTTTCAATATTGGTTGTATAATATCTTGTGCTTTAAATACTACGTCTTCTTCCCTCGCAAACGTCTGGTCTGTTTCAGCAACATTTGCTGAAAGGTATATTTTTAGATTATTGTCCGGTTTATACTCTTTCATATAGTCTTCTGCTTCTGTTCTCATTGCATAGCGTTGTTCTATTGGAAATATAGAGAAAATACCAAGTAAAATGATAAATCCCTATTTCCTTATCATCTACTTACCTTCATCTGCCTGGATTATAATTGATTCATTTCTTATTTCCTTACATACATTTAATGGATGTCCCGATATATTGGTCATTAATGTTGTCATTGATAATGAAACTGTACGAGTTTGCTTCGAATTATTTTTTAATCTCCATATTAATGATGTAGCGTCACCTATCTAAGAAAATTATAGCTGAGAATGAGTAATAGAAGAGATAAAGCTGATGATACAAACCGTGACATCTGTCGACATTTCTAACTGTATATCAACATCGTATTTTTGCGATTTCTTCTTTACTTCATCTATGACGTTTTCTCGTTTCACGTGACCTCCAGGCAAACCACAAGATTTAGTGATATTCTTTTGTTCTTCCACTAAAATGAAATGAAGATTCGTAGTTTAGACAATATAGAAAGAGAAAAAACATATAAAAACCATCTTTTGATTTGTAATCATTTGTGATATCTTCTGGTATTTCATTTTCTAAAGATTTTGTTAGAATTTTTTCACCAATAACTCCTTCTTCAACATCTAAATAAAATCAAAAAAGTTCTACACTTTGCTTTGCTACAGTCATATTTATTTATGCTTACCAATAGCTTTCATATTACCATCAGGTTCTACGAGCCAATGAATTTTAGTACCATTGATTGATGAAAATAAATAGGGAGAATCCCATCTATGACTCAGATCTGCATTTTTCAAAGCATCCACAGGACAAGGACCACAGCGACGCATGCCTAAAAAAGTATAATACTAATGTTACAGACGTTAAAAGAGAAATTTCTGTGTATTTTTATGTTATGCTGCTCATTACACACTCTCAGAAACGCCCTAAGTTTAGTTATTTTTTCTCCTTATACCAACCATCGCACATTCGAACTGGTGTTGAATCAACAACTTGCCAACAACTTTTATTTTTTGAATCGCTTCTTTTCATCCAACACTCATTCCATACATGTGACGGCCTATATTAATGGAAAGCACAGTGATAGACCAAGATTTAAATATTACACTGTTGATACCGACCAGGTAACATCTCGATTCAATTGCTTTAATGATTGTTGACGTTGATTCCAATGAATATCACTGGACATATTTCCATCGGCATCGTACGCTGCTTTGTACACAGTTACGACACGACATGGTATTCCCAAACTTCGACATAATGTACAAAGAATAGCGGCATATATCCAATCCTTTCCATTTTGTACAGATTTTGCATTTTGTTCAAGATATTGTTTTAAAACTGCAGTACTACTTGACCAATGTTGTTGATCATTTTGTTCACCGAATTCTGACGTGAAAATACCATTGTTATCACCTGGATTTGAGCAAATTTTTGACGCCAATATTCTGACGATTAGTGCTGGATCAGAACGGCTCTGCAATGGTAAATATGCTTTATCTAATAGTGTAAGGGCAGTGATTAATGATGGTGCCTCAAATTGTCCATAGTACCATTGTTTGGGAACAGTTTTCGTTGATGAACCACCATAGATAATCCCATTTTCATTTTGTACATATTCAGCAATCTCCGTTTCTGATTTCAAACCACATGCATCATCCTTTTTCCAAGGATTATATAAAATGTAAATATCTTCTTCAAATAAAAATAAAGATACTTCATCTTGGTTATTTCGTATCTCTAACAATAACTAAAACGTATAAACATTGGTTATTATAGTACTGGATTAAAAGAGATTTCACCAGAGCATCAAGAGTTTCTACAGTACAGCTCAAATGGATTTCATTCCATTCTTCACCTAGAACTTTTTCCAACAATAAAGAAATATGTTCAAAATGAAATAATGAAATGTTTTGAATTTATCATCGAAATAAGCAGGAGACAATTTTTTCCTACTTTTTTCAACATGATTTTCGAAAGATGTCTGTTCTCTCGATGAGTGTTAAGTGACGAATATAACGAAATCTGTTTGAACAAAACAAAAATTTTAGTTCTGTTATGGTCTGTGAAAGAAATGCTCGACATTGTTGCGAAATCTCTCTTAAAGGCTCAGAAAAGGTATGTTATTGTCTAGATGTCGATTTACCCTGTATTTTCCGATAATTGCATCACTGGGAGAATTAATTTCAATTTCAATTCTGGCTTTTCCACTTTTACTATTATCAAGTTTTTTCACCGACCATTGAGCTGATTCACCTTCCACAGGAATTCTGATTTGCGTATCCTTGCTTACAAAGGATCGTTGACCTATTGCATAAGAAGTTGAACAAGCAGCAAGAATATTTTGAAGTTGTGTTCGCATTACCTGCTGACAGTCTAATGGCTAATTGGTGAGTATCATCATTAAAATCTTTGTTGAAAGTCACTGTAATTTTAAACGGTTGTCCTCTTCTTACTACGAGACCACGTATGTCATAATTGTTTGTATGATGATCGTTCATATTCTCATCCAAATGAAAGTTTACATCGATTGGAACCAGTTTTCCTTCTAAATGTAATTTACAAATTAATTTGACATTGGGGTATAAAACTTTACTACTTTCAAGGATGGCAGGAATGTTTTTTAGTAGGGGTATAACATTCTAGATAAATATATCACTATAATCGCCGTTCAATTCACTATAGTTACTATAATAGACATTGCGAAAAAGTGGTATCGCTGATGTTAATGCACTGTTGAGTTCTCAAGCAGAGAACGTATAATTAGTAGATTATAGTCTTAACATTGTTAATTAGTTGATTCCGGAAAAGGGATTAGACGCCACTGCTTCATTTCATTTATCTCTATTATATAGTTTCTTTATTTAAATATTTTGTACACTTAATTTACAAGATATAGGAGATGGTGCTTTTTGAATTCTCAACATTATTACATACGTAAACTATCCAACATATCTTCGATCAGAAATCGTACACAAAATTAGCATGATGTCTGATATACTTCTTCTTCAGAAGTTTTAGCTTAGTTCTTTTCAGTCAATTATCATAGTGCAATGAAAAACAGAAAGGATCATCATTCCAACGAGTTGTCGCGAGCAATGTTTTTCCTTTGAACAGTAGATGTTTATTGTAAGACATCTGACAATAGTGTAAAGTTAATAAAATCATTCTGTTTCTGTTGAGAGATATTGCAAGCTTTGATTTATATAGTTTGTTTACACTTATAGCAGATATAGTGCGTACAGCAATAATAGTTTGCTATTTTAATTAACAGTCAATTGTTTAAAAATTTATTTAAATGTTGCATAACTTCTTCTAAAGATATTCTTGTATATGTCAATTTTTTAAATGGATATTGTCGTTTTGGTAAGCAGACATTTGCTTTTGTTCGTGATGGAACAAAAGATGATTTATTCATTTCTTTGTCAGTTTCATTTTGAATATAGTTGTAAAAGGAAAAATTTTGTGAAGAATAACCGCTGTCGTATCTGTTATAATGATGTTTCTCAGATTTAATCGGATTTTGCTTATCTTCTTTTGAATAATCTTTCAGAAGTGCTTTCAAATAATTATCATTATCTCTGTCATGATAAGACACTTGAGGTTGATCATATTGTTCCGGCCGAGTATTATCAAGTTCATCATCGTCCGTATCGGAAAAGCGATTTTCAAATAAACTTGACATTTGAGTTCTAACATCATTTTGTTCATTGATTTCGGATATTACACTACTATCATCATCATCACAGCTTTCTTCACTACCAGTAAAACCACCAAATCGGCCCATCAAACTGTTATTACTTGAATATTGAAGTGGAAATACTTTATCATATGGTAATAATAAACATTTATTTAATGAATTATGAATAGAATCAACGGAAGACAATACACGTTCTAGTTCATCATTATCTTCAATTGTATTATTATTTTGTCTAGTAAAGAATCGATTTGTTTGATCTTCATCGTAATTCTGATCATCATCAGATGAATGATTCAATATTAATCGCTGTGAATGTTCGATTGTATCGCGATATTTAAGATAAGATTCTGTTTTGTACATTATATCATTGTCGTCATTGTGTTTGCTATCTGACACACATTTATCTATTGGAGATTTATTTACGTACAATAATGAGTGACCATTTTCTTGATAATGATTGTTCTGAATTTGTTTTGGATACTTATTAATCTCATTGACAACCGCTTTCGAAAGAAATGATGAGTAATAATTAACTGGTGGAAAATAAAACTTCTTTGATATCATTCTTAGATTTCTATTATCACTAATAATCATATCGTACATCATTATTGTCGTTTCATTGTATCCAGAACATGTATTCTGTTCTGATATAATACCATTTTTATTAATTTTCACCACAAGCGAATGACATTTTTCTTCAGTTAAACGTGGTATACTAATTTGAGGTGATTCGTTTGAATTGAACAGGTTATAATGTGTAGTATTTGGACAAATCATCTTTTTTCATTTCTTCTCTTCTTTTCATGCTATTTTCAATATGTCATTGAGACGTTTGATACATTATTTTCATTAAGCTAGATTTTCTTTATAGATTATGTCTAACATTCACATAAAACTAATTACTACTTCAGTTTGATTAGCCATTTTTTTTAATGGTCAGAGAATAAAGAATAAGAGAATACTTATAACTGTTGTCTCCTGATATTTTTGTTCACAATGATATATATCACAAAAAAGTATAAATAACTATATAACCGTTCATTCTAGTTCCACATACTTTTCTCCTCAATCACATATACACATATCAAGGTTTCCCTTTTCTTGCTTTACTGCGCACATTGAGAAGAAATAGATATAACCGTGTCATAGTAGTGAAGATATCGTGTCGTATGTATGTTATAATATATTACGTATACATGTTAATATAATCATCAATAATGAGGCATAACTACTCTAAAAGTAGCATTTTTTTTTCCATCTGTTAAAAGGTGACAAATGTTGTAACTGACAAGGTGTATATTGATACACAATACATTAAGAGAAGTTAATTTTTACATTGTTAATATATTTTAGCGTTTCATATTTCTTTTAGGAAACAAGTAAATGTATTGTGATTAGAACAATCATAATAAGGTTGAAATGTATTGATATTGTCTATAGATCGATAATAAAGAAAATAAACAGTTGAGTGGCAAATTGTTCTCTTATTATTATTTACTGTTTCTACCAGCTTTCTACTTGGTTCTACTACCTATGTAGTTACAAAGATATTTACGTCTTTTGAATTAACTCTTTCCATCAACTTTCCTCTAATACATTTTATAATATTTTATCCTCAAAATTCCCTAATTTGAGGAGATTTTATTTTGACTACAAGGATTCAAATTTTTCAATAGGAAAATACTTGAGACAAAGAAAACGACTTTTTTCAATGCTTTCAAACTAACGATGTCATTGTCGTTTTTCTTGAAAAAAATGGACACCATCAATAATTGTTGACTCTCTTAGCAAAAAAGCACATTACACAAATGTGTATGAAGAGTGTATTAGAAACACTAATGAGGACTTTTTCTATACACTTTTCCCGATATATCATGGCATGATGACTTTCGCTATAAAATGCTATATCGCGATGTAACATATCTACCGATTAATGGCGATGTGTTCTCTTATCGTGTCGTTCACAGCCAAATTATTGACTTTTATTTTACTTGGGAACAATGATTATTATTTTTTCGATACAGAATACTGAATTTCTTAAGTTTATCTTACAAAAATATATGTCTCTTAAAGGAAACGACTAAGAAGAGAAAGAATCAGATAGGAGAGAATCAAATGAATTTTTAAAAATAATTAAATGAACAACGAATTTATCTTTTTCATATAATCATCACAAGAAAGAGACACTATCAGCACACTATTAAGTCAAATTTGTAAACCAAAAAAGGTCCGTAGAACAAAGTGTCAAGTGATACAAATCATATGAATTGTTTCGATTATATATATTTAATTCCTAAGCGTACTAATAAATCTGACTAATTATACTCACCAGTAACAGTAGATGCGTGTGTTTCTGCATTAGTGTAGGCTGTTTGTGGTTGTTGTCCCGCATTAGAGAATGATCTACAATTAGAAAGACTACATTCAACACTGTTTTTCACACACAAACCACTTACGATCTTATATTATCATTAGGATGTATTAAATCATTAAAACGTATTTGAGTCGATTCATGCGAGTGATATGGCTCATTTTCTGTTGTAGTTGGAAGAAAACTGTCAAGCCTTTTTGCTTGGTTATACTGTATCCAACCAGACATATCTTTCTTCTTCTAAAATCAATGATTTAAAACTTATAACACACTTAAATTGTGATAAGTGATTGAATTGAATTAAATTGTGATTGAAATGTACTCCGTGAATTTGACATCAGTTTATTTTTTGATATTATTATCTTTCTAATAATATTTTTTTTATCTTTTACAACTGTCTGCCTATGATTTGTCTATTCATATCGGTTGTTCGAGATTTTGTACTTAGAAAGCTTTTCTGTTACTTCATATTTTAAATTTGAGAATTAAATTTCAACTATATGCCAATAAGAATTTAATCTTACCCGTAATAATTTCCGGTAATAGAAAACTAATTTTTCTAGAGGATAAAAATAGAAGAAGGTATTGTTAAAACATTCAGTTTTCTAATACTTTATTATTAAATACAAAATACTTTTAATTAATTTATTTTGTTTCTGGCTTTCTCTCTTCGACAATCATCATTTGTGGTTAGAGCAAAAAAGAAAAAAGGTATTTATTTTTTTGTTTTGAGAAAGTAAGAAAAACATATATTTTTCTACTTATCAATTGAAACAAGGTGAAAGTAAATTATTACCTTCAATTAATTAATGTTTAAATATTTGCTACGCTTCATTAAACAGTATCGAGAAAGAAGTGGCAGTTCGGTGACAGTTAGACGAATCAACCATTTAACAACACAGAAGGAAAAATACTTTAGTAGAACAGTGTAATAGAAAAATCCGCAAGGCACGACTACGGCAGAATTTTTTTATTTTATTTTACATCCAATTTTGATGATACTTATAGCAAATGTATATCATATCAATATAACATCTGAAACAAAATTGTCCTACTCTGTCCTATGAAATACTTTTCAGTTATTGACAAAACAACATGACTATTTTGTCATTCAAATGATTTTTTTCATATCGAGTGTTAGAAATGTCACAATGGTTTTAAATAAAATAAAAAGATTTTGAGATCGATTGATGGATGTAGATTTTTGACTTCTATAACTTTTTATAGCTCTTCGAAGCCAAGAATATGAAAAAATGAACAAAACTAGTTTCTAAAAAACCAGACTTTGACGATAAATTGAAACCTAATTAGAAATTCTACTTCCATCAATCGATCCCATTTTTGTTTCTCTTTCAGACAAAAACAAAATAACCTTTCTACGATGTTCTATAAGAAAATGTCATTTAAATAACATGTACTATTTTGTGAAAAAATGAATTAGGAGAAAAAACATAAATCAAGTTTTCGGAATATATTTAAAGATTTTTCGTCGAATAATGTCGACAAGAGTAGTCGAATCATGTGTGACGATACTATAAAACTTTTTATAAAAGACTTCATCGAACTTTTTTGTTCATAGTGTTGGTACAGTTTGTATTTTGTGCATATGTATTTGGAAAAATATATATTTTCGCTTGTGAAATAGAGAAAATAGAGAAAAAGGCCTTATAGTTTGATTCAAATGTAAAGATGAGTTATCTAGAGTATGACTGGAACGTCCATCTCATACTCTTTCCAGAAGGAGATACGTGACTTTTAGATTCTGTTTACAACTGACTGGATGGCAAAATCATACATAAAGGCATATATCTTAGCAGATGGAGACATCTCTATCTATGTGCATATCGGAGAGATAGACGAAAGAACTATATACCACCTCAAGAACGGTCTTAAAACTTAAAAATTCTCTAAAAAAAGTATTTTCTTATCCGAGAGGCTACTAGAAAATCTGTCAGAAATCGATTAAAAATCTGGTTTTTTGAAAAACCTTTTACCAGATTTGGAAAGTAACTACGCACTTTAATCCACTAGCTGGTGTAATAAAAAAATTTTAATTTCTTCAGTCAAAACCACTTTTTGCCGCCGAGGAGTAAATATGCACCAATTAAAAACTGGTGTTGAGGCATCACGGAAAGTTGTTATGCACCAGTTATCAAGACTGGCTCAGAGCTGCGAAACGTCTCATTTTGTAGAAAAAAATGTTTGTCTCTTACAAAATGCAGTTGTCAAACGAATTTCAAAGTTATTTCTATCAAACTTTGAACATTCTAAAATGCACTAAATCATGAAAGAAAAAAACTATTTGAACAGGGTTTTTTTCCATGTTTTAGTGCATTTTAGAATGTTCATATTTTTTGTTAGAAATATGTTAAAATATTTTTTGATAAGTAGGTTTGTAGAGTAAACATTTTTTTCTACAAAATTTGACGTTTCGCAGCTCTGAGCCAATCTTGATAACCGATGTATAACTATTTTGCCTGATGCATCAACACCAGTTTTTAACTGGTGTATATCTACCGGGAAGGTCCCTTAAAGATTTTACATTTTGATGTTACGTAAGAGTTATCATCAGACAGTTGTAACACCCATTTTTTCCATGAACTATGTATAGACAATAAACTATAAAATTTATTTATTCACTCTAAGGATAATGGTCCTATTCTATCTTGTTTTATTGAAATTACATAATACAATGTCTTTTCACTATACAAAAAAAAGAAAGGAAACGTAAAAAAATGAAGTGCAAAAACAGTAAATAAAATTGCATAAAACGCAATAGATAAGAGAGAATAAAAAAAAGCAAAGAAATAAAAAAACAAAAGATAATTCTGTTTTTTTTTAACTGATCAATATTCTTAGTTGAGAGATCTGCTTTTGAAAAATATTTACAATAAGATGAGAAAAGATGTTTTTAAGACAAAGTTAAAAACGCCGTTATCGAGAAATATTTATTTTTGTACATAAAATTTGTTCTAAAAAAAAAAAAAACGCAAAAATCTACCAACCGGCTCGAAGTCGATCTGGTAAGTATTTTTTTTCATTCTAAAATGATGTAGAAGATTTTGATATCAACAGAGCGATCATGGTAACAAGAAAAATAATACCAAGAATAGTAGAAAGAATATTTACAAAAAAAGCCATTCTCGACAATCTTTTACTTTTATAAAAGTCACGTTCCGCTTTATGTTCTCGAACACGTACAGACAATATAATACAAATAATTCCTAGAATAAACAATAAAATAAAATTGCCAATAGACCAGATTAAATAATCGGGTATTCTATCTAATTCTTGTGATGGTGTTAATTTAATTGATGTAACAGCAGTAGATGAATCAAAATTATCAACGTTCGCTTGTGGTAACCAATTAAAACCTTGACGTCTTTCAAGATAAGGTTCCAATGTATCAATTTCTTGTTTTTCCATTCGTCCAACATTCCTAATAGAAAAATAAGAAAAAAAAAAGTTTAAGACAATCAGAAAATTCATGATTATATGATATTATCACTAAATGAAGTATAAATAAGGTTTTTTTATTGTTATAGCCGACCGATTTGAAGACATAAATTCAAACTATTCTTTTGATCTAATAGAGAAAATTTATTTTATCACTAATAGTTACAATGGATACACTCGCTTTTTCATCCTATCAAATACAATCAAATGTTTTTTAAAATATTGTTCATCGTGTTGCAGTCTTCATTAATTCATTATCAGTAGTTCAGTTGGGTACACAAGAATCTGCAATTATTGTGATTATTGTCATTGTTTATTATAGATAGATACCTCTTTTTATCTGTCAAAAGTGGCTGCATTGTGCGTAATAATGCCAAAATTTTATTTACAACAAATCAGAAAAAAAAATCGTGAAAGAGTAATATGTGTCAAGAAAAAGTAAAAGAAAAAAAACACGAGTGTTCTGTTTATGCTATTACAGATATACACGTTCGTTAAAAAAATGTTTAGTTCTGTCTTGGTGTTTTTTTTTTTTTTACTTGATCATTATTCTGATATATATTACAAGGTTTTCTCTCTATTCGTCTTTCTTTTTGAATCCGTTGATGGAAGAGAAATAATCTCAAAAAAGAAGTTTTCACCTTGAAAGAAAGCAAAAAAAAAAATTGTCGAAGGTCTAAAAAAGATATTCAGAACGAAATCAATCATTAAAAGTATGAGTAACAACAACCAAAAATATATGATGTTGATTGTTGAAATATTAATGTAAACCGGTAGAATTATGTTTATGATGTTGACGAAACAAATATGAAAAAAAAGTAGATATCTTTTCGTTTTCTGTGATGTTCGTCTGATACTTTAAACTTAACTATTTAAATATTATTAACTTTGACCTTTAATGTCTCGACAGGACGTCCAGTTTCTAGTATTTTTCTTTTCATATGAGATTATCATTTTTATTTTTATATAAAATTTATTCTTATTCATCGACATAAAAATTCACTGAAAAATGATCCATGATCATGGTGTATATCGTCATTAAACTTTTGTTTTATAATGACTAAAACAGCAGCGATTACCCATTGAAAACGTAGAAATTCATAAATTTTAACATATTTTGACAATAAGATAACAAAAATGTAAGAGTATCGTTGGATAATCAACTTCATCAACAACGTTTCTAAAATAGTAACCAATATCGTACTTCGTCCTAGATTTTTGTTAACAATAGGTGATTAGGCATCAGAAATCCGCACGGGTCGAAAATTTTTGGCCCGGTCCGATGATGAAAGTTTCCGGACCAAGCCCGGCTCGGCCCGACTAAACGTAGAATTTATTTCGCCCGGCTTGGCCAATCCTTAAACTTTTCTGGCCCGGTCCGGTCCGACCATTTTGCCTGATTTTCTTCTTGCATCTGTAATGCTTTTGCTGGCTATGTGGTGTAAATATATTTTTCAAGCTAATATTTATATTTTTATGATTTCTGGGTACTGAGTATACACATAAATTACAAATCCATGCATACTTAAAAATTCTAAGTTCCGTCCGACCCGACCCAAATACTTTGCGGTCCAAGCCCGACCCGATCTGACTAAACGCCCGGCTCATGATGATCTCTGTTAGACATGTAACAGTTTTTTTTCGTATTTTTTAAGAAATGGTTTGTATTTTCGCAACAACGAATTGTGAAATTTTCTGAAGTTAGCAATTTTGTAGAGAAAACATTTCTCTACAAGATGGCATGTAGAAGATATTTTTAAAGTTTTCTTTAAAAAATGTTTTTGATAGAATGACCCAGCAGTTAAAAACTGTTGCATGCCTATAGGTGATTAATCGATAGCTATGAAAAAATCAAAAATATTACTAGTCACTTTTTGGCAAAAAAAGAATTAATTTGAACTGTTATTTTTTGTAAAGCAAAAGAGGCAAAATGAGTACTTTTACACTTTAAGGACACCCCACTCATTCCCAGTTCACTCTAGTTCACAAAAATAGTGCCAGGGTATCTTTAAAGTATAAAAGTGCCAAATTACTAGTTAATACTGGAGCCCATAGATGTAATCGGTCAAGATTTTCTCGACCGAGCCGGTAACCCATCGAAATAGAAAAACGTTTTATTATGCTGATATTCAGCATTTATGAACATCCTGAAACATAAAAGTGAGTCGAAAAAAGTTGAGCTCCATATGGGTATTTTTGCTTTTAAATGAATTATTTATCTATTAGACAAGTAGCAAGGTGAAAAGAAATAGAAATTCAGTTTAGACGATTGTGTTCGATATCTGTTGTTATCTTTCTGTTCACATAGTATATGACTCATGATCTCACAATAATAAAGTATAACAGTCAACAATCTAATATTTTTTATTACATCTGAGTAGAAAGGTATTCAACAGATTTTTATGATCAGACAAAAACTTGTATATAAAATGTTTGAAACAGGATAAACAATCTGAAAGCTAAAACTGAATTCGAAACTGATATTTCCCTAAAAACGTGTTTTTTCGTCCTATCAGATGTTAAAAACTAATTTTGCTAATAGATTAATTTAAGACAGATATATAACTGCCTTTGCTGTTGTAACATGTTGCTTTCTACTGTTTGAAATCGTGTGGTGGTGTCGTCACTTGTAGCTGTCAACTACATGATGTGCTTATCTATACGTTAAAATGATATAAAATTAACACGGTTAAAACGTCTTACCATTAAAAAAAACCGATTATGTATTAAATGAGTCTCTATGACAAGGTATTTAGCGACTGAATTATCTGATTAACATGAATTATGTTCTCTTGTTAAGTGGATTGCAGTGCAACTTTAGAAAATGTTGTATAAAAGAAATGTGTTGTTGTATAATAAAGGCGAGATGCTGTTGATGTGACGTTGTAGATCTTTCATGTCTGAGCACTGTATAAAGAGTGCAAGAAGAAAACAGGAGATACTATACGATTTTTCTTTCTGTGCAAATACCACATGAACGAGATGTAGATTATTTACATATTGTTTGATTCTACTCAATTCTTTTTACAACATTCAACCAGTTGCATAAGAAAATAGAGAAAGATAAGTTTTGTTAAGTGGCAAATGGTGACAGTGAGGTGTCATAGCTGATGATAGGTTCTATGGCTTATTCGACTAGAAAGTATACTCGTTTTATTGGACAGCTTGGGTCCTGTTATTTGTCTTCTACTGATATTCACATAAAAACGCATCACTATTGTTATCGTGAAAAAACGCCATGTTGATCGATAGCGTTGCCAGAAAAAGGCTTGGTACATAATGTTAGAAAAAATTTTTATAAATAATATTTTCAAAAAATGACTCGTACCAGTATTATTTCGGCTGTATGCTGAGACAAACAGAACTTATTATTTATGAATGGACTTTTCCTATTTATTGGTCAAAAAGCATAGAGAACCGCTGTTACCACTATCTTCTTTCTGAACTCCTGTTGCCCAAAAGTAGAAATAGCGACAGTAAATACAGTGTTACTGCATTAAATTTGGACTTTACTTTACAATTGTAAGAGATATTCTTGTTATTTCAATCGAACTACATCTGTTGCAAAGAAGAATTACAATTAGAGTGTTTGCTAATGAATTTGCACATAACAAAAACGATACAATTACCTTAATAGAATAGAATTTTGACCGAGCGTAGGTGTTTGACTATTTTTAGCGTTTGCCGTTTTCTTATAATAAATTAAACTAAATTCTATATTATGCAACTCGCAAGTCTTATCTGCAGTATTCAACTTGTTGAAACGCGTATAATCAACAACTCTTAAGCTGAAAATCAACACAAAATGAACGAATATATATCGTTATTCCGTTTACTTTTTTTCGTTTACTATGATAAATAGAATCTATCCAAACTCAATAGTGACCAAAACTTCAAAATCAATTATCATTCTAAAATGTTTCGGAAAAGGCTCTTCAAATACATTATATCATCGGGTTACCTTAATAAAAATGACGCCACATTGTTGGGAGTATAACGTTCGTATATACAAAGTTCAATATAGATAAAACTTATGTACGAGCCTAAATTTTATTTCTCTCTTTCTCTCATGCGATATCTTTATCTCTGTTCTCTCTATAAGCTGTTTGTTTCCTCTAAGTCTCGCAAATATGACTACGAAAAAGTTTTTTTGTTGTCATTTGCACATGCGTACAATCTTGATTACTAACAACAGACAGCAAAAAGTTCAATATATGAACAAAATTAGAAGAAAAGAAAAAAGAAAATAGAATAAAATTTTTATGTACAGACCAGAGTGGAATAGACTATACGTTTTCAGATATGAATGTGAAAGTTATGATATGTTTGGACCAAAGACGTCGCTGGATTCAATAGACTTAGGGACCTTTAGGGATCGAATATTCAGAACTTGTTTATTGTGTAGAATTCAAGAAAACTATTTTTCGTAGGTAGCTGAAATAAAAAAATTTCAAAAGCCGAGGGACCGTTTGTCACAATATTGGTTTGCGTTGGAACTTTGTGTATCACAAGAAAATATTAATTATGAACATTTTTGAAGAATATTGTCCATTTCAGACTTGTTGTTCGAAGCTCCATGCCGACTGATTATAAAATGTTCGTGTTTTAGAGCTACGATGTGGTGGAGAATAAAATTAAAAGCTGCAGTGACAGCAGTAAGATGAACACGAGACAATACATAAATACTTGTACTTTTCATTTATTTTCTCGTTTGAGTTATATTTAAACAGCTTAAATAATCTTACTGTTTCAAAGACACTCATAAATTACTAACATAACACTCATAATCATTATATTAAAGTTACATAAGACTAAGCAATATCAGAGAAACACATTTTATGTTTGGGAACAAGTTATTCTGTTCAAGTTAAGATAATATCTTAGCTTTAAAAAATGATAGAAATCAAAAGGTTCTTTTTGAACATCTCTATACTTTAAACTCGAGACGTCTGTACTAATAAGAGTTTTAACGTGGAACTATTAATTTAAATTAGTGAAGTCAAGCTCAACACCGGATCTCGTGTTCAACTCGACTCATTTTCATACAGGGTATTCGAATCGAGAATTGAACAAATAAACTATAGGAAAAAGTAATGTTGATTTTGAATATTATAAGAGCAGGAAACTGTTGTTCATTATTCTACAGTACGTCAATCGGAGAATTTTGATGCAGTTTTACTACTGAATAAATATTATTTAGAAACACACTAAAAACATAGAAATATGAGCAATTGCACACAGTTATCTACAAGAATGATCATCATGATTAGCTAAAAGTTACAAATCATCGATAGATAAAACCAAACCTCTTGTGAAAAAAAAGATCAAGACTAGAAACTTTTAGTTTCTAAACGAATTCAAAACAAATAAAGATACTTGAGCTTCTAAAAAAGAACTAAAATCAACAATTATACAGAGCTTTTAATTGCTTAGCAACAGAGATGCCAGCAGCGCCATCGTCTATCAAAGATTCTTGAGCGAAAAATCAGTCTGTTTTTTGGAAAATTTTGTCTTTTTGCGTGAAAGATCTCACACTGGTAAAGATACTGAAGTTTTCACAGGCTTCATATTGCCAATTAAGTTTCAGCTCCTTTACACTGCTGCCGACTCTTGGAGGAGCTAACATCTCTATCCAGTATGGTAACAACAAAGAGGCATATGCTCGATACAACAAAAATGTAGAAAAAAAGCTACAGAAAACTGACTAAAAATAGCGCGAATGTACTATTCTAACAAAACATTGAGCAAAAACGCCAAAAAAGTATATAAAAAAATGCTACAATCTGACAAAGTCTTAAAAAATGACTAACTACAAAGAAGACTGATACAAATCATAGTTGTTAAAAACAACTAGATAAATAATGTGGTAAAGAAAAAAAGCAATATACCTGTTATCATTTGTCCACTAAAAGCTCGTTTGAACAGCGGCTGTTGTTGAACATTTTTTGCCTTTTGTCTTTATTTGTTGTTTCTCTAATTTTTTTATTTCCTTCTCTTTTAACTCAGCTAACAAGTTAGATGTTGTTATATTTTCTCCAAATCTTGATTCTATACGTTTTTTACTAGGTCTTTGCTTTTTTTTTGGTACCTCTAATTGTTGAGATATTTGCTGTTGTTTTTGTTGAAATTCTTGAAAGTGTCTTTTGACGATTGCATCAACAGCCGATAGTGGACTTAATGGACGTTTAATTGGAATTTGTACTGATGTCGGTACACTATAGTCATAAACTGGACTTATTGTACATACTGAAGATCTATCTGTGACTGTTGAAATGGGTGGAATTGAATCATTAAATACTGATGACGATGCCATTGTATGAAATACCACAGGAGAATTAGAACTATTACTCAGATTTTGAGAATAGCGCATACTTATACTTTCTATTGACTCATTAACCGGCATTAAACCTAAAAAAATCAAGATGTAGAGCTATTCTTTTATAAGTGGTATAACATACCTAAGGACGACTCAATGCCAGATAATGAATGTGGTTGATAACTCGATAGTAGTTGAGTATCGCCGGTTGTATCAGAGAACATAGTGCTTGTTACTTGTTGTTGCATTCGATAATTATCCATTCCTGGTGGTACATTGAATGAATTAGACGTATTTACTGCTAGAAGTAATTGTGGATTCGATGAAACAAGTTGCTCTGGTTTTTGATCGATTTGAGTTTTATTTAATTCACTTGCTGTTTGTCTTATCACTTTATCTTTCATTGCATTTTCATCGAATGGCCAAACTCCTGCTCTTGAAAACGACGAAACGATTTGTCTTTTCGTTAGTGTATTATCAAATAACTTTTTCAAAAGTAATGGAAAGTCTGATTTTCTTAAATTTTTTCTGTTTGTTGCTTTGAAATATTGTGATATTAAACGTTTCCATTGTGTTTTCACCAAACCAAACACCACCACATCTAACGGCTGAAGTGCATGAGTAGTATTAGGCGGCAATGAGATGAGATGTATTTGATTTTGAATTGCTAATTCAATACATTTGACATTAATATGAGATAAATGATTATCCATTAACAATAGCAACGGCCGATTAATGTGAGATGTCAAAGGTATAAACATATTTTCGAACCACCATTCAAACGTCTAGAATGATACACATCATTATCTTTAGAGGAACTCAGTTCAAATTGTCATATTACACTAGGAACATTACATTCTGCAATGATTTTAAAGCGCGTATACCCTAATCGACACATTACAGAGTAAAATAATGGGATATTTACCTCTGTCGTTATTCGTCCATTATTTGTTACTGTATAAGATGCACCATCTGGACCATTGAGTGTCCAACTCTCAAACAACTTTTGTCCATTGTAGATGACAAAAGGTGGTAATAATAGTCCATTGGCAGCGATACACGTTAAAACAGTTGTGTAACTTTTTCCTTCTCCTGATATTTCTTGAAAAATACGTTTTGTTTGTTTTTTAACGAGAAACTTTTCAATATGAACTGTATTATCTTTGAATCCCGTTTCATCACAGTTAAAAATCTGAGCTGGACTATCCATGATATTCAATTTTTGTAAAATACTGTTTAAGTTTTTAAACCATCCAACGCGTACTTCTTCAGTAAAACCATACGAACGATTTGACTCAATTTTACTTGGTTTTAACCATTTAACATCGCTTTTCCAACGTTCGAGAAAATTTTGTAACCATTTGCGACCTGGGACATATGGCTTGCCCTCTTCTTCATCACTCAATTTAATTGGTTTAACACCCAATAACTGCATATAATCACCACATAATTTCATAACTAATTCATTCGTACATTTATGGCCAAAATCTTCTAGACTCTTAATTAATGATATCAAATATTCTTCTTGTTCCCTACTCAAATATGTCTTTCGTCCTGCGCCTATTTTTGAATAATGATTATTTGTATGATGACGTATGGTACTATCAGGAACGTTAAATTTTAAACCAGCCTCTTTTGAATTCATTCGACCTTCTCGAACTGCTTCGACCGCTTGTTTTAATTCATTTATTGTATAAGTTTTCTTTCTCACATTACGACGTTGAGGTTTATCTATTGCTATAAGGTCAACATCCTTCTCTTCTACATCACTTGACATCGTCACATCATTTTCCAACATTTCCAAGACACTTCTGTTATTCTAGAATCAGATAGAGAGAGACTAATACAAACTTTTATCGAATATGTCATAAAAAACTGGATCAGTGAACACTGCAGGAAAATAACGCCGAATTTGATTCTGTTGATTATACTAGAAAAGTGACATCAACAATCAAAGGAAAATAAAAACAAACTTGTTATGTACGCTGTTCAAAAAATAAACAAAAATTATTCTGGTGTGTGCTTGTTAATTATTTATCGAAATAAATATTAGAAATCGAACAGTGTGCACATATTCTCTTTTGACAATTCCTACATATGACGTACGATCCGACAATCTTTATGAGTTTAAGTTCAAGTTCAAATTTATTTTGCATAAGCAAGGACATCACAAACGAAAGTAAACGTTTAGTAACTTATAACATCTGATAAACAGAAGCCTTAGTGATACCTGTATAACTAAAAACAATTTATGAGTCTTGAAAAGCTACTAAGAAACAATTTTCTTCGGATAAGTCTGTTCGTAAAGTACGACAAAAGAAAACTTGACACAAACTAACTTTTAATTCTAAATGTTTTTCAATCAAATTTTATCTGAACGAATGAAAACAAGGTGCTCGAAGAAGTTTACATTAATAAAAAAATAAAGATTTAATTGGTATTTTATCGACATCATTGAACGAGTACCCGGATCATCATAGACCAATGAAACTCACTCCTACTTAGTGAAGTGTCTGCGACCTCAAAGGAAGAAACGTTACAATATCTCCAAAATTTCATCAGAGGTTCCTGGCCTATAACGATAGCTATTAGCTGCAGTCATCTTTTTTACAGTCACCTGCAGGTGACTGTAAACGGACCATACGGACCATGGTCCGTATGGTCATCGAATTATATATACACCACATGCTGACTTCCGTATTTAACTCTTGATTAACGTAGTTAACCAATGAGAAATGCGCTAATCAGAAAATACTAAGTACCCTTCAGAGTTATCTGTTGTTTTCTAAAATTTGTAAAAAAATTCTCATTATAATGCAAAAGAAGTTATAAATACAACAATTTTTTCAATTTTGATAGTTTCTTGTTTATTGTCTAAAAATGCATTAAGTTCCATAACGAAGCAGACAATTCTTAAGTGCCAAAACGATGTTCTGATAGATGAAGAAAGAGGTTAAAAACATTTTGCAAATTCGGCAGGATTTGTCATCTATATTCACCATGAGATCACTCAACGTAGATGTCCGATTATTTTTCTTCCGGCAATCGTTACTGTCAACGTATTTTTATCTTGAAAGGCGTTGCCAGTCACGATTGTTGAAAGAGAGTAATCAGACATTTATTTTGATCTTGAAAAGGCTACTTATGACTAGAGGTCTGCGGGACCAAACGTTTTTGGTCCCGGTCCCGTGAAGAAAAAAAGTTTTGGTCCCGGTCCCGGTCCCGTGGAAAGAACTACTTTTTGGTCCCGATTAAGGGACCGGACCACCCGATCACGGTCCTATTAAAAGTTCCACGGGACGGGAACCGTCCCGCAGATCTCTAGGTTCCGGTCCCGGTTCCGTAAAAAAGATTTTTCTGGGTCGTGGGACCGGAACTGGAACTGTCCCAGTGACCTCTACTTATGACTTATGTAGACGCGCTAACTTTGTTTGTATGGATAGACTACAAAAAGTCAGTTTCAAATAGCTGATTGATACATTTCATAGCAATGCAAGCTTGACAAACGGACAGATTTTAAACGCGCGTTTTGATACTCACTCCTAAGTATCGATTGGTAAAGCGTCATGAGCAATGTTTTTCTTCCCTGTTTATTATTTAGCAAAAAAAATTTGTTGAATGGTTTCTGGTCAAAATTAGATCGTGAAAAAATAAGCCTCGTTGTGTGTGTAATCTCAAACTAAACCATAGCTCCAGTTATTAAATGGTTCTACGGCGCAAAATGTGTCTTCCGAAACTAATCATTTTGCTTCAAATGGATTAGTAAACACGTTAGATATGATAATTGAATAAAAAGAGTCAGATGTACTGAACATCCTCTGATTAGTTAGACTTATCCAGTGTCGTGCATGAACAATAATTTTCCATTAAAAGCCCTAGAAAACAGAAGACATTATTGTGTTTGAATTTCACACTTATACGTTCAATTATGATCGAAACTTTCAAATTAGATCCAAACCACCTCCAACAGTAGCCAAAAAAATCACCGTTTTATATACATATGCTTGAAACTGGAAAATGAATAACATGAAAAGATTATCATTTATTAATGACCGATAAACAATCACAAAGACTTCTAATAAAAGAATCTTTAGCTATAAAAGGTTTAAATCCTACTCTAAACAAGACAGTTACACTCTCAACTCCTCTCTATATTTATCCAGCAGCTATACACTCAACCTTTATACCTGATCATAAAGGTTATAGAAAAAGAATCGAAAAAACCTTTTAGCACAAAAAACGCAATAGACATTCCATCGCAACGATAAATATATGCTATAAGTTTTTGTATTTTTAGCTTTGTAATCATTTTTAGCATTTTTTGTTTTCAATTCTTGAAAATAATTTCATATGAACTCAAAACATTGAAAGGAAATAAATTTATTGAAACCGCTGTTAAAATAATTTCTACTAAATTAGATCCATTTTAATATGACTGCTTTTCGTTGGCTCCATTTTATACATGATTTTTGTATTGTATACGACAAGAATATTTCTGCCTCTATATTCAATTTATTTGTCTGTTGTTTACAAAAACAATTATATTTCGCTTTTTTTTATTCTCTAGTGTTAAAAAAACAATATTTTCTTAAACAGAGACATGTTACAATAGCAAAACAAAAATGTTCTACATAAAAAGTAATGAACAAATACATTTTTTTTCGTATAACATTCAGATATTATCAATTCAACTATGGAACAAAACCAACATGTACTAGTAGATGAAAAACCAGTTATGACAGAACATTTTTTCTACTGTTTTACATTAGACTCCAAAGACTAATCCCATTTATTAAGAGGAAACATCTACATTACGCTAAACATCCTTATTTGTCAGAGTCTGGTCTTTCAATCATAGTATTAGAGTCCAGACTTATAGGATGGTAGATATTTGATCTTCGGGATCCTTTTAGATAATCACTGACACTAATTATTTTATTATTATTAATATCGCTCTAAATAATATTTTATCAATATTCGTTGCCAACTTTATCTAAATCCGATAATTTAGGCTTTTTTTATCCAAAATATTGAAACAGAAGAGAACAGCAAAATAATCTTTATTAGTGGTAACTCAAAATCAAAAGAAATATTTGAGGCTTTTCATAGTTCCTTTCAGCGATGGAATACTTATTAACCATGCCCCAAATTCTCTTGTGCTTTGTTTGCTAGGGTGAGGATAAACAAACAAAAAAACTGAGTAAAACAAATAAGCTTTCAAATATGTTAACCATTCTGATAGAGTAAATAGGGTGATCGCAGAGATTGTTTCATCAATATTCTTAATTTTATGAACTTAAGTGCTAACTTAAGTCAACGTTTAGTTTTCCTCCGTATGTCATTTTATAGCAGTGACTTAAGAGAACGCTGCAGACAGCTTGAACCAGTACTTAATCTTTAAAAGGACATGTTTCTTAGAGTAAAAAAATTTGAGTTAATCCATAACTAACATTGAGGCTTAGATTGAATGGCTGTTTAAGAATATTGATGAAACAATTGGCTGTCCTTACGCGCTCCTACGAAAATAGATGATGGTTGAGGTGAAAAATAAAAAAGTAACTTAAAACTCAACCCTGACGGTTATAACCAAAACGCATTTATGTTTTCATACCAAAAATGCCCGTCAGGCCTTTCACTTCAAACTTCTGTATTAGAGATTTATCAATGAAAGATACAGATACACATCTCGCATGTTAGAAATGCTTGATTCGAAATCATAACTGTTTCTGATATATTTCAAAAAGAAATGACACCTGTGTGTTTCTGTTATTCATTGAAATAACAGCAAAAATTTGTATTTTTTCGGTTCTACCTATCGAACAAGTTGAACACGAGAAACATACAAGATCTCTTCACAAAAAGAAACGATTTCTCTGTATGATAGATCAACGATATTGTGATAAGACAAAAAATCAAAACTGTTTGAAGAAAAAAAATGTAGCAGAGGGTTTTATGACAGTTTTGAAAGATCTTTTGATGTGGTATAGCGCTGAGTACAGACAGTGAAGTTGAGTAGAAAAATGACAAAAAGAGAGACCCAACCACCAACGGAAAAACCAATATTAAAAACAACTGTTCAGCATTAAAAAAATGGATATGTGAAAAAACAGAACGAAGAACATTAGTTGTAATGAAAATGTCTGTCAAATTACGAAACAGAGCTCCGTGTGGACTCAAAATTTTGAGACCAGACCATTTTCCTATCAGGCACAATTCTGCTTGAAAAGTAAAACCACAAAATTCCTCTGCGTAAAATACTAAAAAATATTTTTTCCACCGATAGATACCAAAAATTTTCAGTATTTAAAAAACATATTTTTGTTTTAAAGATGTTTCAAAGTCGAGTCCACTCACTACGGAGCTCTGCTATAGGAATGAACAACAATTTTTGTTTTGATGTGAAACATTAAAAAGAGGAATAGAAAGACAGACCATTAAAGAAAAAAGATCAAAGACTAAAGTGACAATTTTTTGAACTTGGTTAAACACTATCTTTTGAAATAGAAAAAATCAGAGGAATAAAATGAAGACTGGAAGAAAAAAAGTAACGATAATTTTTCCCTTTTTTTTAAATGAATAAGTTTTTCGTATTTTTTTCAGGTTTTCGTCGATTTTTTATAGTTTTTTTTGTTTTTGCGATAGTGTTAGAGCAAAAAAAGATATAAAACGAGTATACAAATTGAACAAACAGTCACACACACACGCGCGCACACACTATGGTCACACGTAACAAAAATCAATAAACGAAGACAATACAAACACAAATTTGTTATTGATTTTTTTTGATCAGCTTCATGACTGCTAAGTCATGCAGGAGTAGATAGACATCTTTAGAACTAAAAATATTTAGTACGTTATCATTTGATGGCTGAAGAAAGCCTTAACTAAGAGCCGAATAGAAATGAATGGCAACTTTTATCAAAGATATACAGGAAACAACAGACTTCTTTGGTTACAGGGAAAACTTATGACTTTTAACTTTTAAATGTGGTGTAACAAAAAAAACAATAACAAAAAAAAAACAGAGACCATCATGTTATTTCTTTCTATAGATGTCATGATTTTGATGGACAATGCGACAAAGGAATACGGGGCGAGATCGAAAAAGAGCAAAATGTGCATTTACAACTATTCTATGACAAAAAAAAACAAACGCAAGTAGCTTTAAATAAAAAAGTAGCATATAATTCAAAGCAAATTTTGATTTGAGTTTGTCTGTAAAAATGATTAGAGGAACGAAAAAAATACCATTTCCAGCAACTCTTGTTATGTAGTCACATTGCTTTGTGTTTAACTCACACTGTCACTTATAAAAACAATATACTCATTTCGATAGGAAAAGCAACAAAATTCAACTTATCGTGGTAAGATGTTAAATAAAAAATAATAATAAAGCGACAAAAAGTTGTTTTGTTCATAAAGGCTTTAAAATAATCACCACGAAAAAACTGAAATGATGCTCTCTTAATCGAGCTACAAGCGCAATAAAAGAAGAAGAAAAAATTTTCACACACTCACTCACTCACACATATTGCTGAAGTACAGCTACACGATAAAGAGAAAAAAGAAAAAGAAAATAAAACGTCTGCTACTGTCCGTTTTCTAGGGTTTCTAGAATTATTAAAATTATTTTTGCGGTATGTTTTATATGCATTTTTTCAAATACTTTTTGTATATATTTTTGTATATATCTCAGTCATGTTTTTTGAAAGAAGCGCCAGCGCCATATCATTATGTTATTCAATACCGAATACTTCAATTAGTTTTTGTAAGTTTTTTGTTTGTATACAATCATCTAAATCTGTTCTGTTCATATGATCTAATGCAACGGCTAATGTACGCCAAATATTTTCGGACATTTGAGCAATTTGTCCTTCTAAAGTGGTCAAAAAAACGAATAAATTAAAGTACAGAGAGACAACGTCACAATTTCCGCCATATTCAGCTACTTTTAATGAAGAAAAAAGCTAACTTACGTGGACCAATTCCTTCACTTTGTTGTTTGAGAGCTGTAAGAAAATGTTCAATTGCTTGTTTATACTCGCTAAGATTAAAACAACTAATTCCCAAATTGTAACGCGCTCGAACAAAACGAGGTGATAAATTTAGTGCACGATAATAAGCTTCAACAGCTTTGTCACTTTGACCACCATTGGCTAACGCAGCACCCAATTTGTTCCACAGTAAAGGGTCCTAAGCAAAAGAAAAGAAAAAGCTTATCAGTGTTGCCCTTGGGGCAAAAAGGTGAAAACTTGCTTCCTGGATATATACACAAATATAATCAGTACTCACTAGCCTACCTATCGTTTCCCTTAAACTAATCCACAAGAAGTATCCAATTCCCGCTCTAGTATGAATACACCTTTATTTCGACAACTACTGCTGTTGTCGTTGATATGTTAGATGATGAGGCTGGCACTAACGAGAGAAGAAGATAAAACAGTCATTTACAAATCACAAGGCACTACGCCGTTCGTGTCCTGTCTGTCTGGAGAGGGATTAACAGAAAGTGCAAAAATAACCATTTCTCCCTCAAAAATCTCTTTAAACTTAAAACTTCGTTTTTTGTTCTGATGAAGGAAAGTCCTGAAAGTTTTCACAAAAAAAATTAGATTAACATATAACAAACTTTCAATCACACACATAAGCCTTTTTTCCGAAGTAGTAAATGCATCTCTTACACTATATAGCAAATAGAGATATAGTACTCTACTACTTTGAAACGAGTATTATGAGAGTACTTACATCAGGTTTACCATGAACAGCAGTATTGTAGCACTCCGCAGCTTTATCATAATCACCAGGCAGATAAAACAAAATTCCAAGACAAACCTAGAAGAGTTCTTTTGTAACTATAAAGTGACTTGTACACAAATGAAATTACTAACTTGTAAATCAGGATCGATCTCATGTGAAAAATAAGGTAATGACACCGCCTGTAAGAAAAGTTCTTGTAATTCTTCGAACGCAGATCTAAATAAAAACATGAATAGTAACTACACACGTTGTTCTTCTATGCATTACTGGAATCAGTAATCAAAGGATGAGCCGTTTTTAGAAACAAAGATGATGAGCATTAATTTACAGTTCTAGATAATTAAACCAGAGTATAACGGATATATTGATTTTCCTTACTCATCAAGGATGTCTGTCGATCGCTTCGTTTCGTCACTTGTTGTTGCTTCAGATTTTAATAAAAAAGAATATTTCTCATTATATGACAACCATTTTCTCAACGAATCTAAAGCTTCATTTGTCATTAACTCATTCGCATAGCATGACGCCAATGTTAAGTAGGCTTGTAAATTTTTCGAATCAATTTCAATACATCTGAAAATAAACAAAAATTCATATCATTACAAAGTCCTGTTTACTTCCGCTTTTATTACTTTTTCAGAGCGCAAATGCCCGGTCCATCTTGTTCGTTTTCACTTTGTGTAATGCCCAAATAGAGCCATGCCTAGTCACATAGAATAGAGCTTTCATAATTGAAGAAGATGAAATGAAGAAGTCGACATACATCAGCATGTTGTGGATTTTTTTGAACTGCTGCTTCGAATAATAAAACGGCATTAACGATATCCTGTTCACGTAAACGCTTTAAACCCTCTTCATATGGATTTATATGTTCCATGAATAAATTATTTTTAGAAAATTTATATTCAGAATATGGATCGACACTTTGAATAAAATCATCAAGCCATGATTGTGCTGCTCTTGTTTGACTGAAAAGCAAACAATTATTAATCAGATTTCTGCCAGTTAGATTAAAATTCTTCTTACTCAGCCGATAACGTTGAATCAGCCCATTCATTTTGCCATGTTGACTGTGTATTATTCCAAACATTATTTTCATCTTGTTTCTGTCCTTGATCATTTGCTTGTTTCGCAAATTCGTCAATCCAATTTTGTACGAGAGAATCTTGCTAGAACGATAAAAAAAATCTATAATTTGTACCGACAAAAGACATAGAGGTATCTAATGCATACCTTCTCCTTTTCTTGTATTGGCTGTAACTGTTGTTGTTCGTTTTGTGACGTATTTAAAGATGATATTTCACGATTAATTATTTTGTCCGTTGAGTTTGAGCTATTTACTTCACCGGCAAGTTGTTCGACATAACTTTTAAACTGAAGAGAAAAACGCGTCGAAATTGTCAAGGGTAAAATAAGATGTTCTTACTTCCGTATCTGAAAACGGTGTTTCTTGATTTAACAGAGACAGAATATTTTGTGCTGTATTAACTGTATCATTATCGAACGCTTTGATTTTGTTTGTTGATAATATTGAATTTTCTTGTTGTGGCTGTTCTGGATGAATAAATGAGGTATTATTTAAATACGACGATGACAACGGACTAAAAAGCAAAGTTAGCTCGTAAAATATTCCTTATTAGAGGTGTGTCACGTTCTGTGATCTGTAACTAAGAGCTTTATGTTCTACGTTCTGCTCTTTCGCTAAAAACTTAAAGTTTTCTAGAAACCTGTTAAGGTCCTGGCAATTGATAAAGCTTTCACGATCTGTTCTTGCTACATCAGTATTATTCTAACAACACGCTTGATTTTTATAGATAAAAAGTTTGATCTAAGAAGGTTTTACCAAAGAAAATAAATGCTGTGCAATATGACTATAACTCTAGAAATACTAAGCTCTAATGCGAAAAGGATGGCACTTGCACCCAAAAAAAGACGAAAATATCAACAATTACAGAATGTCAACCGAACTACTAAAAATTAATCAATTTGCTACATTACAGTATCAAACGAAAGAAAGCTGTTAAGTATCAACGCTAGCCTACTTAATATATGCTGTTTGTCCATTCCAATATGGTTGAGACATCCATTGCTCTTGCTGCATTAAATCGATATTATTTGGTAGTAAAAAAGAAGATGGCTGTTGTTCTTGTGTAGAAGAAAACGGCGTAGAGGAAGAAGAAGAAGATTTTGGCAATATTGCCTGTGAATCAAAAGTCCTATCATCTTGTTGAAAAATATTTGATGATTGTTGTTGTAATGAGTAGGGAGACGAGGAAGATGATGATTGTGGTAATTGCATAGATGAATAAGAGGAATGAGGTGGATGGATAACAGCTGAATTGCTGTTACTGATAAACAAAGAAGTGGCTGCTACATTTGCGGTTTGTGGTGATGTTATCGATGATGTTGTCTTCGTTGTTGGTGATGACTGAATATCAGGAAATGTGTCTAAAAACTGTGTTGCCCAGTCGTGTATTGTGACATCAACAAAATACAAATTGAAAATAGTTTTCTAAATTCAGCAGAATTGATTTTCTTACCATTTTTAATAGGAGATATAAACCGGTCTTCAGTTGCATTTGTATCATCAGATAACCGTAATCCTGATAAAAGACCTTCGAAATGAAACGTACAAGGCGCTGCTAATGGCATTTGATGATTGTCTGCTGTTGATTGCGTTTGATTCAGGTAATATTCATTAACTAAATCATCAATTGTTGCATCACCAATATTCGAACTCTAAACAGTAGAAAACTAGCTTGTGAAAGTAAGATGTAGTAAATCGTTAAATCTACTGCTGTAGTCCTTTATTTAACAGCAATTGTACATTGTGGATCTACTTCAGTCCTTTAATTACATAAAATTGACGTCCTATAAATTTCTGACTTTTCTTTAAGAAAGTTCATTACTGTTGCGAAAAAGTAATTGCTTTAAAGAAAACAGTTAAACTTACAGCAAACGCATTATTGTTTTGTTTAATTAAGGTATCCTACCGATAATTAACAAAGAACGCTGATTCAGTTTATGATATTCACGTAATAGTAAAAATGTCACTACCTGAGTCACCAACGAATTATCTCTTGCATAAAATTGACTGAGTTTAATCAGTGGATTTGTTTGTCCACATTCAGAATCAATTAATCCTTTTAACGCAGCCATAGAATAGAAAAATAGGATTTGAGGGAAAAAAGGTTCGGCAGGTTATTAGATTAAAGTTTTCAAATCTAAAAAGAGAAACACTTAACCATAAGATGCAGATACTATTAAAAATACCATCACTTCAAGTCAACAGTATGAACTGATAAAAGAAATTGTCTGATTATACGTATTTCCATTTAGTGTCTACGTGTTCAAAGAATGATATTAATCGTTAGTTAAGAAAAAAAGTTTATAAAAGGAAAATCAATTTCTTGGCTCTGTGCCAACACGACGTACAAGTAAATGTAAGAAACCAATCATATGTGTAACTGAGATAATTTTGAACTAGCTATGCATTTGCATATTAATTCACATTCACCACGCTTTTTTACGTGTGAAACATCTCAATTTCATTCTATTTCTGAGGGCGCAAATTTTTTAGGCTAGTTTTGACAAGAAATATTTCTCTACCCACGTCTATAACCTATCTGTGTGTAATAAACATGCTTTGTTTAATGTATCGTTCCGCTTATGAATTCAAATTGAACAATGCATGGTTTCCAAGTGCTTTTTGTTGTATAAAGAATAAAAATGGAGATGAAAACAAGGTTTTCTTTTACGTTGTAAAACGTGTGCCTCTATTTGTGCTATGTATAACATGTATATAGTAGAGTTAGATAAAGAAATTGGTTTTAGTCTATGAATGAAAGATCGAGGAGAGGCATATATTTTCCTTTTTGTAGAAATTAACTATCTCATTTTGTACAATTTTTTTAGAAAAGATCGTAACTAAGGTTAAGTTAAACAGTTTAATAGTAGTAAACAAGTCTTGTTTGACGATCATTTTTGTAATGTAATGAGTTTTCTGGATTATCTGATCAGGATATAAAACGAAGGATAGAATAGTCTATTAAGAGTTCAGGAGTAGATTTTGTTTTTGTCTGGGGATTTATCAGATGGTAAAGTGATATTATTTTGTCGTTCATTTCTGCACTCATTACTTTCCTCTCTCTTTTCATGAAGTTATGATTTGGTGCTCAGTTTTTTTAGCTATTCATCCTTTTCGGCTCAAACACTATTTATTGACTTATCAGTTTATTGGCAATGGGATTGTTTTGCTTTTGTTGTAGATCCCGTGTTTGTAAATAATATAGCCTATGATCGTTGACTGTCAAATCAAACAATGATCACTTCGCAATAATGCAACAATAATTCTTCACAAACTTTATCTGTCTGGAAATTAAAACCAAATAATATGAGTGCATCCGCCTTTGGCGAATCATACGATCAATCAGGCGATATTGGTACTTCAGTGGCGGGACACCGACAGCAGGAAAATGTATGGGAAACGTTTCCACCAATTACAACATCTCCATTGCCATCGTATAATGGTAACAATGATGCAAATCGACAACAATGGTCTGGTTCAGCACCGCAATCTCTACAAATACTTTTAGGACAACAAGACGGTGGCGTGTTTTTCGATCGTGAATTTAGTAGCAACATAACACAACAACAACCACCACCATCACAAAATCAGTGGGATAC